CAGGGATTTAGCTCAGTGGTTCCACCGCCTGCCTCGAAAGTGCAAGGACCCGAGTTCATTCTCTGGGACCAAAAAAAAAAAAAAGAAAGAAAGAAAGAAAGAACGAACACTTTAGTCAGGGTTAGGTCGTGGGAGTTCTGACCGGAGACTGTGTAAGGGAAAGACCAGCTGTAAGAGCAGGAGGCCAAGGACAGGGCCGAGATGCTGGGTGCTGCGCTCTGCTTGTTGGCACACAGGGCAGGGGACCAGACAGTCCAGGGCAAGAGCGAGGCCCCGCCGGCGCAGAGTGTAGGGAGAGCCAAGTTTAAGCCATGGATCAACAGGGACTTGGAGGGGGCAGGGCTGTGCGGTTGCTAGGCGAGGTCAGCAGAGTCACCACAGCACGCGTGGACTGGAGAGGTGGATGGCACAAACCTCCGCCAGGAGCGCTCAGTGACAGCGAGGCAGAGCTGGGCCTGCAGGGACTGCGCGCACCGCACCTGCAGGATGCGGACGCCTTCCCGGGGAGCACACGGTCTGGCCAGGTGGCCCAGGTGTCCCGAAGTGGCTGGGAGGTCAGGGGTCCCTCGGAGGGGGACAAGGGACAGTGACGTGCGCACAGGCTGAGGTGGGGACACGAGCAGGCAGCCTCAGGAAGGGCGCGAGGGCAGGTGGAAGTGAGCGGTACTGGGGATGGAGCCCAGGGGGCCCCACACCGGGCCACCGCCCCCCCTTTGGCACCCGGGACTGAACTCTGGTCCTTGTGCTTGAGGCAGGTGGCAACACCACTGAGCTAAGTCCCCGCCCCTCCGGCCCCTTTTTATTCTTCATTTTGAGATGAGTTCTCTCTAAGTGGCCCAGGCCGGTCTCCCAGCTGAGCTCTTCCTGCCCCGGCCTCTCGAGGAGCTGGGATAAGAGTGTGTGTGCCCAGGCCCAGCCAAAGTGCCCCTCAGGAGGGAGCTGGTCGGTAGTCACTCAGGACATCGCCTTGAAGCAGAATCTGAGTTACGCAGGAAGAACAGAGCAGAAAGTGGATAGTAAGAAGGGAAAGACACCAGCGGAGAGCGGGCTGAATTCTAACGACCTCTGTTTGCAGCCACGAACGGGGTGCAACTCTCATACCGGCTACAAAGGAGCGTAACCCTGGCGACGCTGAACTAAGACGCGGTCCCACGGCCCCTGTTGCACAGCCCCTGTGGGGGTCACACGTATCTCAGGGCGGTGTCACTAGGAAACAGGTGAAACGGTGCTTAGGGTCACCGGGCATCCGCCTCAGTGTCCCACGCAGGAAGGTGAGACGCGGCTCCCCTCCAAGGTTTTGCGTGGGGGAGAGAGAGCTGCACCGCTAACCCTTACACGCCCGGAGGCGGCCGGTGCAAGCTAAGGGCGGCTTTTGCATTTTGAAGTAGTTGCAAGAAGTCAAAATCAAAGTATTTTGCGACGCATGCCTATTAGACGCAATTCACCACGCGCAAGAGGACGCGGGACTCCAGTTTTCTTGGGCCGTGCCCCAGGGGAGGTGAGTCTGCAGCCCCGAAACGTCCGCCGGGGCCCTGGGGCGGGCTGTCTGCCCAGCCCTGTTTGCTATGCGAAGATATCCCGTGGGATTTCCTTGCTCCAATAAAACAAGGGCTCCGTGGCCAATTTGCAGAAGTATTTATCAGATAGCTTCCTTCAATTTGAGACAAATTTCCCTACCGATGTTTCCCGAGGGCCGGAAGAGAGTGCTGGGGAGCAGGAGTCCCAGCAAGTCCAGGGACAGTGGGAGACACAGGCCCGGCCTGTCGCGCCTGATGGACAAGGGCTCTTGTTCACACCGAGAGATGGAGGGCCCGGGAGGGAGGAGGGAAAGGGGGGGAAAAGAATGAACTGCGTTACATCCGTGAGGACCGTGGCCACGATATACTGCAAACGTGAACTAATGGAATTTAATAATAATATAATAATAATAATAATAAGGGACACGTGCTCATACCTGGCACTCCAACCGCTGTCTCTTAAGAGTCTAATGTTTTGATAAAAACCTTACAAGTTCTCACGACTCCAAGAAATGCATGCACGGTACCCCGCGGTGCTTCAAAACAACAGAAGCATTTGATTCGAGGGAGAGCGAGAATAACAGGAGCCGCATGGTCCCTTCTGTCCCTTTCCCGTGCGGCACAAATCAGGTGACTGCAACAGCCCGGACAACAGAGGCTTGGAGCCAGGCAGAGTGCTTGGAAATGGAGAGAGAAGGCTCCATACTAGGTCCGTTAGGGCAGCGGGATCTACAGGAACCAGGAGGAGGAACGGGGGCAGTGAGCTCATGGGGCACAGGAGAGGAGAAGACGGGGTGGCCCCAGCCTTCAAGGCTGGGCAGTGATCTTGTCGTTCTTGTTTGAGGAAGGGTCTCTTTGTAGCCTCCAACTCCCTATGTAGCCCAGGATGGCCCCAGACTCACAGCGATCCTCCTGCCTCAGCCTCCTGAGTGTGCCGCCGTGCTCAGCCTTTTTTTGTTTTTAGGGTATGAAAGTCATACTGGCCTTGCTGAATTTTTGTCCCCAAACCCCAGCGGGTGCCTGAAATCGTGGACGGAACTAACCCTCATCCTTATGATGCATCCATCCTATATACAACCTTACGATAAAACTGAAGTTGGAGGCGAGGCACAGTAAGGGATGAGTAATACTCCTGCAACAGGTCACTTATCACAATACGCTGTAAGGAAAGTCAGCGAAAACCTATGCCCTGTTTATTCTGGGATTCCTCCCATTACTATTTCCGGACTGTGAGTAACTGAAACTGTGAAAGGGAAACTTTAAAACCATCTGCCCCCAGGTATTCCTGAAGCCTTCAGTACAGGTTTCCCTTATCTGATGGGGAACAGCACTCGCAAGTGAGCACAGCCCCTGCCAGAGGGGAACTGGAGGGGCTGTAGGTGTAAAACCCAGCACCAAGGCGTGGGCAAACCCTTTATTTTCAAAACCTATCTCTGCCGACTTAACAGTGAACCAGGCACTGACTCCGCTACTGCTGCGCTCCCTCCCCAACCCCCCAGGCCCTCATATTTTTTATCTTGAGACAGCTGCCCAGTTATCTTGATAATGTTGCGAAGTCGCCCAGGCTGGGCTTAAATTTATGCTCCTCCTGCCTCAGCCTCCCAGAGTGCTGGGAGGACAGGTGTGCGCCACCACACCACGCTGGGCTTAGCCAAGAGTTCTGTAACCAATAATTGATTGTTTCAGAATTTTTATTGAGAAACAATCAGCATTTTGCTGTCTGTGCATTTTATCTCAGCCTCTCTAGCTGGTTTATGGTTTAACTTAAATTAAAATGGTGGTGGTGCACACCTGTCATCCCAGCACTCTTGGGAGGCTGAGGCAGGAGGATCACCATGAGTTCAAGGCCAGCCTGGGCTCTACATAGTGAGTTCAAGGCCAACCTGAACTAGAGTGAGACCTTGTCTCAAAGAAAGGAAAAAACAAAGAGTCATTCTTTTGGTCAATTGACAAGACTATCTAGATTTGCTCCAAATTCACTTTTTCTTTTCTGGTACTGGGGATTGAACTCAGGACCTTGTGCTTGCAAGAAAGGTGGCAGAACCACTGAGCTAAATTCCCAGCCCCAAATTGACTTTTTTAACAGGGCAAAATCTTTGAAAAGTTCCAAAGCAAAACAAGAGACCAATCAAACCCCTGTAATGGGCTTCAGAGATAAACTGGGGCATTTAATATTCTCCCACTGTGTCCTGGGCCCCTAGTGCTGAGGCAGGCAGCATTCCCACCAGGGACTCTACCTCCCGAACTTGCTGGAAAAGAATCCCACTTGCAGTATTGGCTGAGCAAAAAGGGAAGTCAATTAACAGTAGAGGCCTTTGATTAAAATTTCTTTGGGGAGGGCTGGGAATTTAGCTCAGTGGTTCCATCGCCTGCTTTGTAAGTGCAAGGACCCAAGTTAAATCCCTGGTACCCCAAAGAAAAAAAATTTTTCTCTGGGGATGTAGTAAAAGAAATGACATCTTGAAAGGGCTGGATTGTTGAGGTAGATGGAATCCAAACCACGGAGATTACCAGCTCTCAGACAAGGGCTCCACGATGTGGGGTGACTCGTGCGTTAACCATGAAACCCTCTTCATAGTGCCCAGCATGAGCTGCTCAGTCCAGGGCTCTCCCCAGAGCTGTGATCTGCTCTCCCCACCCCCGACATCTGGCAGCACCTGAGACACATAGGCGGTGGCAGCTCTAGCAAGGGAGTGTGCTGCTGGCTGCTGGTGACCAGGATGCTGCTGGACACCACACAGCGGGCAGCACAGCCCACCTCCAAGGACCATCTGGCCCCCAGTGTCACCCACTATCAACCATGCGGGAAGCCCCAGCATCAGTCTTACATTTTCCCACCGATGAGAACCTGAAGTTCGTGGTGAGAAAGCACAAGACCTTAGCACCTGGCAAATCCATACAGAGAAGAGGAAAATGAGACAAGGAGAGGGCAGCTGGAGCAGGACGGAGGAGGCCTTGAATGCCAAGCTAAGTCTGACGCAGTCAGGACAAAGGGAAGGGCCGTGTCCTCTCGCTGGCAGGCTAAAGTGGGAGAAAGTACCCATCTGCCCTCCTGACGCAGCCCAGGAGGTCCTGGAAAGGCAGGAGGGAGAAGACAGAGGGATAAGGAAGCACAGGAGAGGCCAGAGCCCTAGGACTCTGCAAGGAGCCACAGGACACCAGACCCAGAAGCGATTCTGGGGTGGCCCTGACAGACAGAACTTGAGGCCAAAGACCACTCCTTCTAGGACAGGGGAGGAGGGCTGCTGCCAACAAACAGAAGGTGGTGGAAGATGGGGAGAAAGAAGCTGGGCCTGGGCAGGGCCCCACGGCCTGGAGGAGGCAGGAGAGTCCCAACCGGAAGTCCAGGCTAGGGGGTGCCATATTGGGGCCTGACCCTCCCAACTCCGGCCTCCACAGTGCAATCAGTAACTGCAGGCACACGAGCCTTTTCTTTGGCATCTGGGCCTCCCCAGTGAGTGCAGCCATGGTTAAATACTGTACCTGCCTGGTTGTGAGTGAGCTCCTGAGTTGGACATGGCTTCCAGAAGGATCTGCCACTCACAAGGGGACCACCAGAAGGGTCTGCAGTGCCAGCAGACCAATGAAAAGTTTCTCTAGGAACTTCTCCCTCGTAATGTTCTACATGCTATGTAAACCTATAGATAGATAGATAGACAGGCATATTGATACATCTCTATTGAGTATTGAATATATATAGTATAGATACGTAGATAGACACCTATCTATATTATTTTTTTCCTTTTATTGAGACAGGGTCTCACTATGTAGCCCAGGCTGGCCTGGATCTCACAGCGATCCTCCTGCCTCAGCCTCCCTAGTGTGGGGATGACAGGCGTGCACCACCACACGGGACTCTACAAGATGATTATTAATACATGAAAATACGTTATTCTTTATAAACTACTCAGCTCCTTGATATTTGGGACACACAAATATTTGCTGAGAGGATGGACACCACAGAACATTGCACAGACAAAAAAAAATCCTGACGGAAGTAAATTCTTTCAGTAAATGAATTCTCTTTACAATCAGAAGCACATCATTTCCTCTCTTTTCTGTGGGTCTGGAATTCCAAGATTACATTTCTTTTCATCAAAACTGGCTGCGTATAGCTGTACATATTCGGAGAGAACAGGCCAGCTGGGAAAATCCCTGCATGTTTACTGTGGGGTCCCACTGGCCCCAGGAAGGGAGCAGTCACACATTTTTGTGGGCTGCTCACTTTTCTAGAAACTGCTTCCAAGTCATCACCCCAAAAAGGGTCTTTTGGACCAAAATGCAGTCTTGGAAACATAGCAGTGTTTCTAAAAGATAAACAGTTTGCATTAAAATAATAACAATAAGCATAATTAGGTGTCTTTGCAACTTTAGAAATGGACTTTTTTTTGCTTTTGCTTTTTTGTCTGGGGTGTGTGTGTGTTGTGTGTGTGTGAGGGAGAGAGAGAGAGAGAGAGAGAGAGAGAGAAACAGAGAGACAGAGAGGGAGCAGTGAACCCAGGGCCTTTGCACTTTGTATTTTTATTTTGAGACAGGGTCTAAGTTGCCCAGGCTGGGCTCAAACTCACCCCAGAGCACTGGATCACAGGCGTGCACCACGGGCCCTAGCAGGAATGAACTTCTACATCACTGGTGCAACTTCAGCAGTGTTCTGGGGAGACAAGTGCTCCTGAGCCCTTCTGGCTTTTTGAGGGGACCCTTTTTTCCTTGGAACGTGCCTAAGTCTCACCTTTCTGGTCTTGATCAGACCTTGACCTTCTGGGCCTTGAATTTGTTTCCTCCTTTGCCTTCTCAGCCTCATTCCAGGTTCTCACCCGCTCCAGGATTTCCAGCAGCCAACAAGTGTAAAAAGCCCAGGGTCCGTGACACTGCTACAGTGTGGATGGCCCTTGAGGCCACGCTGCTCAGGAGCCGAGCCACACACAGGAGGACACGCAGGGCAGGGCCCCGCTCCCAGGAGGCCCAGGGTGGTCAGACCCACAGGGATAGGAAAGAGGACGGTGGTGCCGGGCTGGGAGGGGACGGGGCCAGCGTTTCCTGGGCAGAGCTGGGGGGATGGAAAGTCCTGGGGGTGCACGGCTGGATGGTGCAGCCGTGCGATGCGCTCAATGCTGCTGAGCTGGGCCCTTAGACAGGCTTAAGATGGCCAATTTTATGTTATACACATTTCGCCATAATTTAAAGAAAACAACATCCTGCCTTGACTCCTTGGTCCCCTGTCCCTCGAGGCTCACTGGCTCTGTCCTTGGCTTCTCTTCCACTCACAGCCCTCTTCTCCTGTGACCCCGCCACTGCTGCGACCTAAATGAGCCATTCTGAGCCAAAGCTCCCGGAGCCGGCCCTCTAGCCAGGACGGTCCTCAGCTGGGGCCGTCACCTCCAGCTCCCACCATGGCGCTGTGCCCCATGTCCCCTCTGCATCTCCACCGGCCCAGCACACGACTGGCTCATCACCCTCGACCGCCCCCAAGCTGGCCCCCTCCACGTTCTCTGATTCCACTTCCAAGGGTCACATCCCACCAGGGCCCTAACGCCAGGGACCTTGGACAGCCACGGCCATCAGCTCTGCAGTCACGGAGCCCCGAGAGGCCACAGCTTGGCCTTCCTCCCCTCCCTGGCTGTGGCTTTAGGCTGGGCCCGTCACTCCCCTGGGTCATGCCAGCAGTCACCCCTGTGCGATTCCTCCTGAAGATGCCGGACATCCGGGGCATCTACTAAGGGCCTGTCTGGGCCAGGCATGGTATAATCCCAGCACTCCGGAGGCTGAGGCAAGAGGATCTCCACGAGTTCAAGGTCAGCCTGGGCTACATAGTGAGTTTAAGGCCAGCCAGGACTTCATAGCAAGACCCTGTCTCAAAAAACCAAATATAAATAGATAAATAAGGCCTATGTGATCCCAGAACTGTGTTCCTGCCGCCATGGGAGCCCAGCAGGACCAGAGACAAATCCCTCCATCTAGGCAGGGGAAGGGCCAGACTGTAAATATTTCAGGCTTCACCAGCCACGTTCTGTCCTGTTAATACTCCACTCTGTTACTGTTCATACGTCCATGTGTGAGTGGGCGGGTGTGGCTGGGTGCCAATCAAACTTTCCTTCCAAAAGTGAGCCCCGGCCGCTGTGGGCCAAGAGCCACAGTTCACCATTGCCTGCGAGGGAGACCGGGGACCTTCCAGCCTCTCCTCCTTGGCACCCAACTCCTGCGGGCACAGCGGCCTCCTCCTCAGGGCACCCACTGTGCTCGGCTCACAGAGCAATGAATGAACAAATGTTCGATGTCTGGTAAGCAGGTACACTGATACCCGTAGCAGAGGCAACAGCACCTAAACTCTTCCCCGGGATCCCTGAGCCCAGGAACTGCCTTCCCTTTGCTCACCAGGCATTGGCCCCACTGCCCCTGTCCTGTCTCAACCAGGCCCGGAGGATTTCCCCCCACCCTGCCAGGGCCTTTGCACCTGCTGCCCCTGCCCAAAGGCTCCTCCCTCTGAACTCCACACCAGAGGCCTAGTCAGCAACTCACAGTCCTGTTTTGTGGCCTCTACCATGCAAGTTTCGGCTAAGTTCGTATCTGCAAAGCCTCTTATTATGAAGGACCCCTCTGTCCCCAACATGCACGCACACTCAAAACAACTAAGACTGTCAGAGAAACAGGCTCCCGTTACAGGGCACACCTGGACTCCATTCATAATAAACGGCATGTAAGCGCTTTGCCAAGCCATTACGCGCGCACTCTATATATGTTTAATGGCCTTATGGCTTTTTTCCATTTTAAGACACGCAAGAGGGCAGGTGCCAAGTGATTCACAACATCCGCAACGCTCCGGCCTTGTGAGTCATCCGCGCAGGTAGCGGCAAGTCTCAGAATCACAGCGTTACCGGCACGGGGAAGGGACTGCGGGGTGGGCGCGGCCAAGCCCCACCCCCGAGAGACCTGACGGGCAGGAGGAGACTGTGACAGGGCTCGGACCGAGCGAGAGCATGCGCCCTGCGCTGCCCGCCAGGTCCCTGTGTCCGCGGCTCATTTCTGGACACTGGGAGCAGAAGAGGTGACAGCAGACAGGAAGCCAGACCCGACGCGCTGCCTGCAAAACCGGCCGCTCCCGGGAGAGGGGAGGTGTGTGCGGGGCCCTGCTGCAGTACGCACGCTGTGTTTGTGTCTCAGCTCGGCTCGTGGGGGGCGCTTGCATTTGCAAAGTGACATATTCCGACCACCGAATTTCTAAATTAATTCAAGAGCCTTTCCTCCCCTAAACCAGGGGCCGAAGCAGAATTGCAAGTCTGAGTCCCACCCGGACAACTTAGCGAGACCCTGTCTCAAAATCAAAAAATAAAAAAGGCCTAGGGATGTAGCCCTGGTTTAAATCCCGAGTACTGCTGATAATAATAATAAAAACAATAATATCAGTCTCTATAACAAGCGCTACAGCCTGTGCCTAGCTGTCCCCCCAGTGCCCGTGGGGTCAGAGGTGGGGCTTTTCAGGGGAGGCTGGGTCTAGAGTGTGTGGTGCTGGGACTGATTCCTGGTGCGATGCTGGGCTCCAGAGCACTAGGACTGAGGGTGTGGGCGCGACCTCCCTGAGCAGCCTGCACAGACATAAGGGACAGAAGCTGTGGACGTCCCTTTGCCACCTTCTGCCCGCCACCAACTGTTCCTCTTTTGCCAGGTGCCACCCTGCCTCGGAGCGGGCCGACCAGGGACTGAACCTCTACGAACTGTGAACCAAAATAAACCTCTCCTCCTTCCACTTCGGTATCTGGTATTTTGTCTCAGCAACGAGAAGTGGTAACTAAGACAATAGCATTTCGGCTTTGCTGGGCACTTACTAAGGGACAAGCCCCGGGTTAAATAATTGACGGAAGTTATTTCGAACAGGGCAACTGTACCAGCTGTCACGGTGGGCGTCACAGATGCCAACAGGTTAATGAACGGGAGCTTCCTCCGTGCTGAGAAAACGAACGCATGTAATTCACTCTGTACTGAGAAACACCAAGGAGACGGGGCCGCGGGGAAACGGGCTCAGTGTGCCGCTGCTTCCCAGTGGGTGGCCTGATGACGGTGGAGAGAAGGCTTGAAGAAAGGGAAGGCGTGGGGCCCCCGAAAGCCTGGGCAAAGACTCTGCAGGTCAGGACTTCCTGGAGGCCAGCACGGTTCAAGGGCAGGCAGCCCAGGGAGGGTGCGGACCACCTTGGACTGGGAATGACGGGGACCCCGCAAACAGCCTCCAGCCAGCTGCTGGGGAGGATGGGGTGGCAAGAGCCAGCACCGGAATCGTTAGGGGAGACAGTGACAGCTTGGACCAGGGCCGGCGGTGGAGGTAGCCAGCTGCTTTGACAGGGGGGCAGCAGGACTGGGAGAAAGGGAGGGATCAAGGTCATCTCCAAGGTTTGGGACTGAACAACCGGGACAAGCAAATTGACAGTTACTACGGGGAAGGGTGAGGGCGTGGAGCAGCACCCACCGAGGTGTTCCCAGCAGGGAGGTGGACAGACTTTGGGGACCAGGAGATATCAGAACCCTGGGCAAATCTGAGCCCCCTGGGCCTGGATCCCCAGCAAGGCCTCTCGTGGGTCCTCCTGGGCTCTTCTCCCCTGACTCCTTCACACACTCCTTCAGAGTTTTTATTCCTATAAGAGTTGTTTTGTTGATCTTAGGACTTGCAAGAATCGCCTAAGTAGTTTTTGGTTTCTAGTCTAATGCCCAACACACACCACCCCTCCATCCGCCCACCCGTCTATCCACCCATCCACCCCTCCATCCACCCAACAGATAAGCACATATGCTATGCTATGCCAGGCATATGTCTAAGAGCACATGGCCTGCTGAGGAGCTAATTACACTGCAGACTCCCAGAAAAGGAAGCAAATACCACTTTAAACAATACACAATGCCGGGGCTTTGGCTCAGTGGTTCCGGCACCTGCCTTGAAAGTGCAAGGTCCCAAGTCTGATCCCCAGTACCGAAAACACACACACACACACACACACACATCGTGAGAAACAAAGTCCAAATGAGGACCAAAATGTACAATGGATACCGTGAAATAGGAAGCAAAGGTTCAAAGGGGAAGGGGAAGAAGGGAAAGAAAAAATATGAGAAAAGGAAAAAATGGAAACAAAGCTTTTGTAAATAGGGAGGGGTGGAGGGGTAGAAGGGAGGACAGGGGAATGGGGAACAAACAGGAACCAAGATACATCACATCCAGATACAAACTCCCTATGATGAATGTGATCATAACGTACCAAAAATGTACCAATAAAGTTAATAATAATAAATAAGCAATGCACATGTCTACAATCCCTCTTAACAGCACCGAAATCCAGGAACTCTTAAACACTGGAGTTTTTTTTTTTTAATTTGATACAGATTCATTTGGCAGCCACACTTCCCTACTCTACTCCCTTTCATGTGAATATTTAGATAATTCGGAGCAGGAACATGTATGAGTCCACTCGGGGCCCACACCCAGAACATCAAGGTGGGATGGGACGCGGACTTGTATTTTCAGCTCCTGCAGTTTGCTGAGGGCCCTGACGAGTGAGATGGCCTCTCTGGGGGCTTCCCTTTGCTTTTTAGAAAGTTTCACATTTGGCTGAGTGGGTTAGTCACTTTTCTCCTTGAGGGAAGGTTTATTTG